CACCTGCTGTTGAAACACACACCTGCTGTTTAAACACACACCTGCTGTTGAAACATACACCTGCTGCTGAAACACACACCTGCTGTTTAAACACACACCTGCTGTTTAAACACACACCTGCTGTTGAAACACAGACCTGCTGCAGTAAAACACACCTGCTACTGAAACACACACCTGCTGTTGAAACACAAACCTGCTGCTGAAACTCACACCTGCTGTTTAAACACACACCTGCTACTGAAACACACAACTGTTGCTGAAACACACCTGCTGTTTAAACACACACCTGCTGTTGAAACACACACCTGCTGTTGAAACACACACCTGCTGTTGAAACACGCATCTACTGCAGAAAAACACACCTGATGTTGAAACACACACCTTTTGCTGAAACACTCACCTGCTGTTGAAACACACACCTGCTGATGAAACACACACCTGCTGTTGAAACACACACCTGCTGCTGAAAGACACACCTGCTGTCGAAACACACACCTGCTACTGAAAAACACACCTGCTGTTGAAACACACACCTGCTGCTGAAACACAGAAATGCTGCTGAAAAACACACCTGCTGTTGAAACACAAACCTGCTACTGAAACACACACCTGCTGCTGAAAAACACGCCTGCTGTTGAAACACACACCTGCTGCTGAAAAACACACCTGCTGCTGAAACACACACCTGCTGTTTAAACACACACCTGCTGCTGAAAAACAAAACTGCTGTCGAAACACACACCTGCTGCTGAAAAACACACCTGCTGTCAAAACACACCTGCTGCTGAAACACACACCTGCTACTGAAAAACACCTTCTGTTGAACCACACACCTGCTACTGAAACACACACCTGCTGCTGGAACACACAACTGCTGCTGAAACACACACCTGCTGCTGAAACACACATTTGCTGCTGAAGCATAAACCTGCTGCAGAAAAACACACCTGCTGCTGAAACACACACCTGCTGTTGAAACACACACCTGCTGCTGAAACAAACACCTTTTGCTGAAACACTCACCTGCTGTTGAAACACA